GTCTCATCTTAAAAGGACAACGACCGGTTAATTTCATCGCACTTGGAAAGCATACAGACTGCAATTAATAAAAAGGGTGTTTGCTGACTAAATCACCGACCTGGAAGCCCCGATGCCAAGACTCAACGGAGTTGTTTGTGCGTGGCAGTGTGCGCCTGCAACGCGGCATCATGCACTGAACAAAGGCTTGTTGGAAGTATGACAACCTGAATACTATTACGTCTTCTGTGAGCGATGTAGTTACTCTCGAAGTACAGACCAGTTGGCCTATGACGAGTTCTCCGGGAACGGGTGGGATTGTGACGGGTGGGCCGGTTCCCGTTGTCCACAACATTTTTTTTTTTTTTTTCAACGATGTACCTAGCAGGGGTGGGTATCATTTGAAATAGTTTGCGCATTTTGAATTTTCTATTTAATTATATATTAAAGAATGTACTTGTTCATTTTAGTTCTTGGTAACGTGAATCGTATGTCAAAAGCATGAATCTTGCCGCGGTTTGAGCACAATTAACATCCCATAAAAAGCAAGGAGAAAATAACAAGGAATGAACAAGTGGGATAGAATTACTGACTTTGGGGTTTTTTGTTGTTGTTTTTTCTAACAGGTTTCGCATTCACGTAATGTTATCTGAAAAGGCTTTGTTGCATAAGTGGTTCTAGACGTTTATTTTGAACATTTGCAGTAAACCTCGAATTGAACTTAATTTTGTTTTCCTGGTGCTATACCTGCCTATGTCACCTCAAGCAAATTTTATTCATAAAGCTGCTATTTTCTTATAAAAGTAATTGATTATCGTAAAATACGGACATACATTTTTATTTGGGCACGGCGGGCCCTTTCTATTCGGGGCAAAACTTAATTTTAAGGTGTCTAACCACGGAAACTAAATGGTATTTGGAAAATTATTCTAAGTATCACAAATAACTCCCGTTGTACTTGTACCTTGTAGCTAAACACTTACGCGACAGTGTAAATGCATTCGTGTTTAAATAAATTTATGAAGAACTTTGTATAGATCTGTATTTCGGCACATTTTAGCACGCGTTTTCTCCATTCCTGGTAGCTAGTATAGTATACATATTATGTACTAATTATTTAAATATACTACAAGCACAGCGTGAATTTTCTTTTACGATGCCGAAAATAGCCATAGAGCTCTCTCAGTAACTGAAAGACCGAAGAAGGTTGGGTACTACTTGCTCACAAATAGAACTTGCGGCATCTAACTTTCAACACGGACCCTTCGCAGAGCAGCGTCCCCTTGTTTCTATTTTTATCGACGCGGTTTGGGCCAGGGAAATGCGCACGCTATGCAAGCGCGTTTTCGTCCGCATAGGGTGATGCAATCACTGCTTCAGTTGCACAAAACTCTGCAAAATTGCTTATACGGCTACGTTTCTGCTACATTTCAACCAAAATGTGAGGAATTTGTACCGATACAGCGCCAAATATTAATTTTACTTCTTCGGTACTGAACCTAAAGCTTAGTATCGTTGCTGTAGACTTCTGCAAACTTGCAAAACTTTCGATTGTCGCCCTCGTACGACGCACAATTCTATTTGGCCTTTGCATCGAACACTGGCGCTGCTTCGAAGTATCGAAACATTTATCGATTCTGGGTTTGTCCGGGCGGCTGGGTAGCTTCGTTGAGTGCGCTTCTCACCGCGTGCCTCTGCACTGTGGAGAAGCAACACCCGCGAACGAAGACCACTTCGCGATCTCTCGTTCCGTTCCTCGCTTTGCCGCAGCGCCGTCGCGTGCTCAGGCGGAAAGCACTGGGAAACAAGACAGAACTTTGTGAATGTAAATGTGATGAATGTACCTTGCAGTTGAATTCTTTGATATCCTGACGAGTGGCGTGCAATACTGGTCGTGATTTTGTTTTCAAGATTTCAGACTTGGTTATGTGTAGCTCGGCAGCAGCCATCTTAAATGTCGTCACTTCTGGTATGCGTTAAAAGATCGTTTTGATCTCTCCACGCTGCTGGAAGGTGTACGCGAAAAATGCGTGACTGGCACACATTCTTGTTTTGCCTCACCAATATTTTTTTCGCATATTCCGGGTAGAAATGCTTTACTATGTTTTCGTCCCGCATTTCAAATACGGAACCCACGTGACTGGGAAGGAAATGAAACGAAACACGTCAATGGATCTCAATTTTTATGTTAAAGTCCTCGTTTAGTTGGTACCTTAATATCGGCATCAAACTGTTCGAGGTTACAGTCCACAAGTATGAACTAAAAACTAAATTAGCTTTAGCAATGTAGGAATGAAAGCTTAGCGAGTTCCGCTTGATTTTTTTTTTTTTTAAGAAGGCATCTTTATCACCAACATACTGATTTTTCATCATCATAATATTAATAAAATTTTGCATTATAGCTTAAAAAACGAAAAAAAAACTTTCAGTTTTATGTATGCAACCAACAGAAGGTTGTTTAACTGTGTTATTGCACAGTTTTACTGCAACAGAACATGAACAAAACATATATTTTTACAAATAATTATGTTATTCTAATATTATTTCAGTGAAATAGTATTTGGTTTGCCTGTGATTCCGCACCTAAAAATACAATTCGCAGATACTAATATGTGATTAACATCATCGGCACGTGTTTCGAACGTGACTGCTGATATGGGCTTGTTTAAACAAAACTAACGTTCTCGTAACAACACTATCTATACCTCGTTTCAGCTTCAGTCCAGACGCAGACGCCACTACGAGCTAATCGCACCAATCAAGCAGCTTCAAAAGCACGAGTCACTAGGCCTTTTCTGTTTATGATTGGTTCGGCGATGATAGGACACGTACGGAAACTTGACAAACTCAATGATGGTGACTTTTGACACTGGCTGATTGCTACCATCAGCTCGTAGCGTCGGCTGCGTCTCGACCTATGGTAAAACGGTAAAACAATGTGTAAGAGCGGTTAGTTGTTTTTTTTTTTTTTTTTTTTTTTTGGGGGGGGGGGGGGGGGTGTGTTTGAGGAGATCAGGCAGTCTGATGTTCATTGTGCTAACGAGTGGTTCCACAGACGTGGAAAAGCACATAAGACATTGCGTTTTCGATGGGAAGACCATCACGTTAATGTTAACATTGTCGTCGCAATAGAATATGAACGAGAACGAAGTAAATCCCTGTGACCCAGAAGTTGTTTTTTTGGTGCTCTAAAATGGCCCTTCCGCTCCATCACAAAGATTCGGACCAGACACATCTCTGCGGATGTCTTTAAACGCACTAAAAGCCCGCTCAGAATTGGGGGTGGTGGTACGCGCTATTTTATCTTGTTGAACGCGCGCAACAAGGAGAAAAGCAGCAATAAAGCTTTGTGATAACACGCACGTGAAATTATTTATTGTAGGCGCGATGTTTCCGTCTTATGTATTTCTACCTAATTCTATACCTGGTTGTTATTCCTGCCATAACATTTGGATTATAGAAATCTATAGTTATATTATAACGTACGCTAGGGAGCCAACTGGCGCTAGTGAGCGGTCTCTAATTGAAGCAGGCAGCAACCAGTCTGAAAATGACTTCCGGTAATGCATTTCTATGGGAAAAAGGAAGGGCATTTTCTCCCTGCGCATGATTATCAGAGCAAACATCACGAATAATTCTTATCTACAAGATAGCTTGGAACATGTCTCTACCGTAACTCCGTAAACGTAACTGACCAAATATCGGTCAGTTACGGCATTTTTTCTTTCAAATTCGTGGAATTAAAAACCGTGCTAAAAGTATTACATACCTGTTTTTATGCTGTAGTAAAGTGGTAATTTGAGCTAGTTGGTACATCACTAATTAGCGCTCTTTCGTTCTACTGTCCTTTTCTCTTCCGCCGACTTTTTGTGCGCTGTTTAATATTAATAAGTGTATTTATGCACACTGTCCGACACTGTTAGCGCGAACACGGCATCGGCGCTTTTCTGCAGGGGGGTTTACGTGCCAAAGCAATGAAGATCGTCCCGAAAACCAAGAAAGATGTCAAGAACGACGCACTAACACTGGGTCAGTACCCAGCTGTGCATGTGGACGATCAACATAAAGTAAAGCCGAGTCATGAGTGCGATTTGCAATAAATAGCATTCGTTTCATTCACTCCGCTGCTCGTGTATGGGTGCAAAGGTAGGTTTGTTAAGCGTTCAAAACTGATATTTGCATGCTCGAAAACTTTTAATACGGGGAAAAGCCAGAAAACTCTTACCGCCCGATAAACTCAGCACAATAATAAAAATTCAAACACCTTTTATCGAGCGCTTAACTCATTCGTAAAAAATGGTATGCAATACCAACGCACTCCCTAAAAACGAGTACTTATACTGTTTTACGTTTTTTACCCGCTCGTAAATTGGGGGTCATTTGAGTGGCATATAAACCCCGAAGATTTTCAATATTAACGCCATCAGGATGTTGGCGCTCCTTGAACAAGTCCTGCGTTCTTTTCGACTGTTATTCTTCTTGCTTAGATGCGCCGCTTGTCTTTGCACACTTGCCGTGGAACGTAGGACTAAAACCGGAATACTGGGAGGAAGAAACATTGCTCGCTGATCGGAAAAATACTGTGACTAAATCAATTTCAGTTTTATAATGTTAATATAGTTACCTACTATTCGCTGCGACCCAGGTAACAAAGGTAATTCCTGCTATACTACGGCGAAGAGACGAAATGCACGCGTGGCGCGTTTGCCCATAGGAATGCACAGGAGCACCGCAAAAGTGAGCTGGTTGCCGTCTGCTCATATTTGAAACCGGAAGTCCTATAGACACTAGCGCCAGTTAAACCTCTAGCGTACATTATAATAACTCTATGATAGAAACACGGTAAACAATCTAAGCCTCGCTTCTGAAACAGGCATCGAAAACGCACAACTGAGCAAAAATTTCGTTGAAAATTACCGTTATTTCAGACGCTTTTTGTCAAACAGAAACCAAACGGCCCTCAAAACAGGAAGTGCTAAAAGTGGCCAATAAATGCGCCGGTGATTTCAAGAGACTCGTCTAGATGGCGCGACGCTACAGGAAGACGAGAATCGTCTGCTCCACGGGAGCGCTCTCGAGAGTCCACTCCGTCGTTCCACGTTCCACAACAGCGGGGGAGGCTGGCGATCCGTCAGGCGCTCCGAACATCTGTCGCCTGAGCACGAAGACACCAAAACAAAGTTCCCGACGCCGGCAACGTGTATAGCTACTCCCCCGAAGGTCCAAGTTCACCTCAGAGAGACAGGTCGTCCGGCATCGTCTACTTTATATCTCGGATTACAGGTCCACCACGTTCATCATGTCCGCCGGATACGAGTACGACTATGCGCCGGGTAAGTCTCGTGGTGCGCTGTGCTTTATCTGGCCGCGTTTCCGCCGCATATAGAAACGCCCGATCAGTCTTCGAGAGGGCAGTTTCTTTATTCAACGCAGCGGTTGTCCACAAGTGTTGTGTCATCTGTCACAGGTTGGACCATGACGTGGGCCGGTGAAGCAACCAACGGCCACGTGATGTTGTCCGACCGCGTGTTTCTTCTAACTATAATGCGCATTTAAACGGTTGTTCTTTGTGAAGTTGGGAAATTAGCTGTTGAGAGAAGGAACACTTATCTTCTAGGAGTTGCTCTATATAGTTTCAATCCCATAGCGAAACCTCTACTGCGGCGAATTCTTGATTTCGTAGTGCATTCCTCATCTCTTGTCTTTGCGACACCTGCCATGTCTTGCGGACATTGACCGATACAAAAGACAACCTGTCAATAACAATGCTTCAATCTCCGGCGCATGCCAATTGTTACGTCTACTTCTGCTCCTCCCATCCAACGGATTTGAAAACTGCCGGTTTTCAATCTCCGGTGCATGCATGCCAACTGTTATGTTCACTTGTGCTTCTCCCATCCAACGGCTTTGAAAACAGCCGGCTGACGTATATGTAGATGTCATTACTCCAATCAATGCCTCAACACGCAGTTTCGTCAACAACCTCTTGAATTCGTTCGGCGTTCAATATGAATTCCAAAATAAAAAAAAATAAAATAAAAAATAGTTTACGATTTTTTTTTTAATTTTATTCTGACGATTCCGTAATGCTGTCCGCATTTTGCTGCCAGTCACCATCCTGAAGAAAATGAGACATATTTGAAAACCCCGACAGCAGTTCTCCAACCGTTCGGCTATGACCTGATACTCCACGGCTTTATGATGCGGCTCTTGGTGCAAAGGCTGTCTTGAGCGCCACTGAACCTTTACGACCGGCGCTCTTTTCCAGCTAAATTATTATATGATGTCTTTCTTTCTCTTTGTTTTTTCTTCATCGAGCAACGATAAGTTATGTGAACCCAAGTAGGTGCGGACGTATTTGTTTGCATTAGAGTCTCAGGGAGGGGCCCCTTAGAACGAAGTAGCCGCTTGAGAGACAACTTTTGCATGATACCAATCTGCCTTATTATTTCGCAACACCAAAGATTGTTATATACTGTTTCGTTTTATCGCGGCGATTTAAGGTAAAAGTCGTCGAACAGTGTATTAGGCACTAAAAAAATTGAACTGATTTTTTTTTAAGGTTATATTGTTTTGCAAATAGGCGACTTACAACGTGGAAATATATTTCAGTACACATCACAAAAATTTCTTTTTTTATATGACAGTGGACGGCTCCAATTTGACAATTTCACAGAAAAAGTAGTTGTAATTGTTATAGAAAGTCTTCAATTCGGTCGTGACATTACAGCATAATTCAGTTTTGTTACGGTTCATTTTTGGTCGATCTAACGAATTAAGCTTAGACACTTCTAAAGAAAAGCAATTAAATTGCAATAATTCAATTACCGCAATTGAACTGCTACCCCAAGGCGTGACCGTAGACGGGAATATCGTGCGCGAAGGAAAAGGAGAGACCAAAAAGTAGATACAAGTGTTATAACTTTAATTAGTCGTAGTTTTATCAAGACAGGAACGCTCGTCACCTGTGCCGCACGACACACCTGCGTGCTCTGCCGTTAGACTAAATGGAGAAGCTGATTAGAATTCAGTTGAAGCCTCAGAGCGAGGGGCGCGGTGTAACGGCTGCTTTATAAACTTGTTTGCGACAGTTGTGGGGAGAGTACTGATTTAATATTCATGTATCCTTTGCATGAATTCACGTAAGGCGAAAATGTCCACGCCACAGTTGGAAACTATTCGTTTCCAATATTGTGATCTGCACCTAAGCTACAGGCAAAATATCTGGAACCCCATGTGCATCAGCAGTTTGACGGCTTGGAAGACTATGTGAATGTATAGCAGAAACCCTTTTTTATTTGTTTTGTTTTTAACAGTTGCACAAGTCTCGTCACCAGACAAAGTACCCGATATGTCACACGCTTTTCACCCGGTTTCTGGTACGAAGAAAATGAAGCCTCTACTGCTACAAAGTTGCGGCTCCAATTTCCTCGCACGATTTCTTTTACCTGCGTCTCTTCGGCTATCAGCTTTCTAGAGACTGTCAACAGTGTCATGAGAACGGACCGACCAGACCGTAAACCTGCAGAGGGCGGTTTCACGCCACCTGCGTTCGGCTCAAACTGTAGCGAGAGTCCACGCTGGGTGAACCTTCGCCCCTTGCTTTTCCACGCTCGGAAGCAGACTGTTTTCGAACTCGCTCAAGTTCGTTCGAATTGCGATCGACTGCTTGATTTGGAGTAGTTGGCAACATAAAGGAGCGTCGGCTGATAGTCGAGTTTGACAAAACCGGCCGAGTCGGCGCTTGAGCTGTCGCTGTTCCTGACCAAAATGCTTCCGGCGGATGCGTAAGGGCGACTTCCACGTGGGAAGAACCAAGCACGGGTGGTTGCGACCCAATTACGTCCGCGATCATGCTTCCTGAGTTCCTCGTCGGTTGAGCTACTCACCATGCTTTTGAGGTTTTATCATCGCAGAAAAACGACGCTAATGAAGAATCGCTTACACACAAGCAAATAAAAAACATGACTCAAAAAACATATATCACCAGACGGTTTGATGGAAGTGGAACGGCCTTTTGGGAGACCGCCCATAGAGCCTTCGATTGGTCAAATTTCAAATCATCAGGTTTGGTTTCAAGACGAACTGGGTGCATTTCGAAGCGCACTTGTATAGTGAATGTTCACAATCGATGGAGTACGTTTAATTATGACGTTACCTTGGTGACTCCGAGGCAGAGTTTCGGTCTATGCATTCTCTTTGGACGGGTTTCAATCCCAGACGAGATGCCCACAATGACGAAGGTTTGTACACCAACGCGCTGTTTACAAATAAGTCCGCGTTTGCCTACACGAGGTGTGCGCACTGCGCGTGCGCAGAAGCGTGAGATGAAGCGTCTGCGCATAGGCAGCGCCGACAGCAGCGCCACCGCGGTGGCGTGACGGTCCCCGCGTGGCCTAAATTAATCCCCAGCTCTCCCCAGTGGCAGACCAGATTTATTTTGCAAGTCTCAAGCGTAAAACCACCGAAATTTTCGATTGCCACCAAGCAATTTTTTTTTCCTTTTCTGTTTACATGTGGTAACGTCCACAAAGATCGGACATTATAATACCCCATATTCCCGTGTTTCATTCGCTTTCTACAATCGCCTGTGCTCGGTGTACTATCAATAATATATATACGTACACGTATAGATTCCTTGGAGTGGTATACGGAATGACGACCCACGTCACGGATTTGGTCCTTGTTCTGTGCGCGCGTTACCGCCCGTTAATCCAATTGCACGATGTCACGGCGCGATAAATGTCTTCGTCTGGTGGACAAGACAGTGCCTGACTTTACTGCTTCCCCGAGAGGGCATGAGGTGATGAGGAATCCAAGCCTGCGTCCAAGGCCCCAACCCCTCGATTAGAAAATTGTAGGGTGTGTTGATATTCCCGCAACGCAGGAAATTCCTCGAGATCGGTGCCATTTGTTCAAGAAGCCTAGGTGCCCATCGCCAAACACGATGATTATCTGACTGAGACATGTCGGGGGTCGAGCATGGTTCCTAAGGTACATCCGACTTCTCCGAAGTTTTGAACAATCAATGTCGTGATCAGTCCTTCGATCCCTGCCGAAGAATCTTCAGCTATACGGGTTTCGGGCGGGCTTGAACCCAAAGGAAGATTCGGCGCTGCTGAAACCGACACGTTGGGCGCTGCAGCAACGTCGACTCGTGGGTGTCGCTCTCGATCGCCGGAAAAGGGCAATTGCCTCGGCCCTCTCCCGACGTCGAAGCGACATCCACGCGGCACCAGCGAACCGACTGGTTTTCCGAGAGCGTGTATAGCCGCCGACGCAGTCCGAAGGGTGGGAGGCGAAGATATCGTGCCCCATTGGGCGCCGAGACGTCCGGCCTGTCTTTCGAGCCTCACCGTGGCCTCGGCCCGTAGCGGGAAGATCCTTTGGCGGTTCCCTTTGTGACCGCCGAAAGCGAACTGAGGAGTGCCTTTCGGCGGTCCCCGGGTTCGTTTCCCACAGCGAATTCCGTCGAAACCGAACTTCCCAGACGACTCTCGATCCTCAAACTTCCGCATTATCGAACTTCACGTCCACGCTCGGACTTTACAGCAAGATAGTGTGCGCACTGTGTGCACGCCTGTCCGGCAAGGAACCTACCCACCTTTGTTTGTGGAATGATAGTCGGTCAGCGACGACGTGTGATAGATGACTTAGCAAAAGTGAAGTGCGCTGTGACAACACCGACTATGGCGCGCCCTTCGTGTTCGGTGTCACGCGTGAGTTGGAAGTTATTTAACGATTAATCATCGGACCCTCGCCACGTTTTGTAAAGAACAGTGCACAACGCTGAAGAAGTTAAAGCATCCTCATTTGGTATTTTGAGCGATATTCACCAGACGGCGACGGCTCGGAAAGTGTTCGCTGAAGCTGCGTCTGGTTTCGCTGCACGAGCACATGGCCAACGCGCTATCAGCTCGCGCAGATGGCATTTGGTACTTGTGGGTGGAACGGCTGCAAGCGCGTAGCTTTAGAATGCGCTTTCCTTGCGCGAGTGCTCGTGCGAGGAAAGCCGCAATTATTTTTGATCTTGAGTTTCTCTCTCGTCGGCGCGAAAGTCCTCCTCTCAACCAGTCTGCGGCAGCAGTCGACCGGTTTGAAGCGATCGTCGCGGGGTAATTTCATTTTTGTCGTGCTTTGTCTCGTTTAACATCGCATTTGTGCAAGGCCTGCGACGTTAATACGTTGAAAAAGGCAGGCGTTTATCGCATATTTCTGTTTCATTTCTGTATTCTTTATTTATCCATTCTGCAGCAGAGGTACACGTAGCAAGAGAAAAGTAATCGATCCTGTTCCGACATAATGAAAAGCACAATTTTTATGTAGCGGTACA